GGTGCATCGCCGACCCCTGAGCGCGGGGGAGCTGCGGAGGGGCTGGCGAGGGGAGGGGGGAAAGGCGGGTTCGGGGGGAGGGCTGGCGAGGGGCGCAGGGGAGCGGAGGACGGCAGCGAGAGCCGGAGGGCGGAGGGGAGGCCCCACCTCTCGGCGACGCAGCGCCGATGCCAGGTCGAAGTTCCCCTCCACATCGTTGCCCTTTGCCTCCAAAAGCGCTGCCCTTCGCCCTGCCGGTCCCCCCCGCATCGTTGCCCTCCGCCCCGCCGCAGCCCGCCAGAGGCGCCGGCGCCTGCCGCCGCTGCTCGCGGGCGCGGCCCTGGCCTGCCTGGTGGCCGCGCCAGCGATCCTGCACGAGCTCCGCGCGTACGCGAGGCCTCTCCCTTCTCCTGCCCCGTCCTCCTCCTCCTCCTCGTCCTCCTCCTCCTCCTCCTTCTCCTCCTCCTCCTCCTCCTCCTCCTCTTCCTCCTCCTCCTCTTCTCCTTCCTCCTCCATAACCTCGTCCTCGTACTCATCCTCGTCCTCCTCCCCCCTCCCCCTCCTCCTCTTCTTCCTCCTCCTCCTCCTCCTCCTCCTCCTCCTTCTCCTCTTCCTCCCCCTCCTCCTCCTCCTCCTCCTCCTCCTCCTCCTCCTCCTCCTCCTCCTGGTGCCGGCACTGGTGGCATTGGGGTTCGGTGGTGGACGCTGTCACGACTCCTCCTCATGCTCCTCGCCCTCCTTCCTACTGGAGGAGGAGCCCGGAGTTTGAGCATGACGCAGAGCAGGCCCAGGAGGAGATGCTTGTTGGGAAGGTCGCAGCCGTGCCCAAGGTCCACGTGCAGGAGATGCATTGCGTGGAGAAGGTCGAGGGGGCCCTCGGCAAGGTGCGGCTCAGGGTGCTGCAACGGCACCTGCTCGGCGCTGAGCGGGACCTTTGGATGCCAGGCTGGCGCGCAGAGGCTGAGGCGACAGTCCGAGGCCCGCCACGGCGGCCGAGCACCGAGCGGGTCTGGCCTGGTTTCGTGGCGCCCGCGGGGCCCGTCTAGCCATGAATCAGGCCTGGATCAGTAGCGATGTCGACTCTCAATGCGTCTGGGTTTCGAGAGGGCCCTGGATTGCTACCGTCGAACCAGGGGTCGCAGCTGACCCTGGTGAGTTGTTGAATTGTTCCTCGGCTCCGTGTGTCTAGTGGGCCCCGGATGCATGAGTTGGCTTTGCTGGGAGGCGCACTTCAAGGCCACGCGCGTAGAGCTCGACGGTCTCAGCGGCCCATCCCCCGTCTCTACCCGTCGGCAGTGATTGGGCGAAGGATGGGATGCGTTTTTTGGGGGTCCCTTTGCTTTTGTCCCCAAGGGGCCCTCAGGCACTGACTGACGAGCTGACGAGCGGGCTCGAGAGCTTGGCCGACTGGCCGACCGAAGCGACCCCGACCCGTTCGACGAATAGCATAGGCCTTAATTTCTGTGTTTTTCGGCGTGCTCCTGCCGCTTGCCCCTGGCTGGGTGTTGGCTCCCAAGTCAGGGTGACGAAGAGTTCCCCTCCGATGGGGCACGCCCAAGCTTTTTGCTCGAGGCTGGACCCGCTGACCTCTTTCTTTTCCTCCTTTTCGGAGCGTGCGATCCCCCCCCCCTCCCCCTCCCCCTCTTCTTCTTCTTCCTCCTCCTTCTCCTCCTCCTCTCCTCCTCCGCGTCTTCCTCCTCGTCTTCCTCTCTTTTCCCGTTGCACCTTACCCCTGGGGACCCGGTCGGCGCTGTGGTATCTGACGCTCCCGCATGGGCTCACTTGGCTGCAGGCATCCTCCAAGTTCCGGGCCCCAGCCAGCTTCTCAGAAGCATGACTGCACGCGTAGGGTTCACATGTGATCGGTGCCCCTTCTCATCACAAATCATTATAGTCCTCTTCTCTCTCTCTCACTCTCTGTTCCGAGCCCCAGCCAGCTTCTCAGAAGCATGACCGAACGCGTAGGGCCCACATGTGATCGGTGCCCCTTCTCATCACAAATAATCATAAACCTCTTCTCTCTCTCTCTCTCCTTTTCTCTCGTTCCCCCCTTTCCCTTTTTGACCTCCCCCTCCTCGCCCTGCTCCTGTTCCTCGTTCGTACGCTTCTCCCGTCCCTCTCGTCCTCCAGATCTTCTACGCGGTGCTTCTCTTCTCCCTTCTCCTCCTCCTCCTCCTCCTCCTCCTTTTCCTCCTCCTCCTCCTTTTCCTCCTCCTCCTCCTCCTCGTCCTCCTCCTCCTCCTCCTGTTCCTCCTCCTCCTCCTCCTTGTCCTCCCCCTCCTCCTCCTCCTCTCCTCCTCCTCCTTCTCCTCCTCCCTCCTCCTCCTCCTCCTGTCCTCCTCCTCCTCCTCCTCCCTCCCCCTCCTCCTCCTCCTCCTCCACCTCCCTCCTCCTCCCCTCCTCCTCCTCCTCCTCCTCCTCCTCCTCCTCCTCCTCCTCCTCCCCCTCCTCCTCATCTCCTCCTCTTCCTCCCGCCTCTCCTCCCCCCCGGGCTCCCCCCCCCCCACATCCGGGCTCCCTCGCGACGGGAGGCTTCCTGGCTTCCCCGCCGTGCTTGGCGTCGGGAGGCCCAGTTCCCTTGCCCAGGCAAAGTCAAGAACGATTCGGGATGAAAGTCTGGTCAAGTCGGGGACGTCTCAAAGACATTCTCCTCGTGGAGAGCGGAGGCTCGAGGAGGATCGAGGGTCGAGGATGGAGGAGAAGGAGGAGGAGGAGGAGGAGGACGAGAAGGAGGAGAATAAGAGGATCTAGGCGTCGTTGATCGAGGCGAGACCACTGGTGGCCCCCTTGGCGAAGAATGATTCGGGAAGCGGTCCAGAGGTCTGGGGTTCAGGTTTTAAGCAAAGACACGATATCGGTGGTCAGGGTCCTCCTCCTCCTCCTCCTCCTGCTGGTGCTGGCACTTGCGGCATAGGGGTTGGAAAGTGAACGAATCCACGACTCCTCCTCATGCTCCTCTTCCTCCTCGCCCCCCCTTCTCCTGCTCTTACTCCCCCTCCCGCTCCTCCTGTCCCTTCTCCCGCTCGTCCTCCTCATTCCCCCCTCTTCACCCTCATCCTCCTACCACTCCCCCTCGTCCTCTTCATCATCATCCTCCCGCTCCCCCCCATCATCATCGTAATCACCCTCCTGGTCTCCTCCTCCTCCTCCTCCTCCTCCTCCTCCTCCTCCTCCTCCTCCTCCTCCTCCTCCTCCTCCTCCTCCTCCCTCCGCGCGCACGCGAGGTACTGCACCGGCGGCGGGGATCAGCTCACAGGACGCCGCCACGAGGGAACAACCGAGGATCGAGGCGGCTTTCTGACGCGCTTGGCATTTGCTGCGCATCCAAGCGGATGCCGTCGTGAGACCTCCCGAGGCCTCCGGGGACCTCCGCAGGCTCTGTGGAGAGCCGTGCCCTCGAGGGGTGTTTTTTTTTGTCACTCGTGACCGAAGGACTGCCCGTCTGGTGCAACCGCACCGTTCCCAGCCTGTACGGGCACGTCCAGCGGGAGCACTGGAAGAATGGCTTCTTGGCCTACTGGGAGCGTGAGGGGCAGATTTTCCACCACCACTACCATAGGTAGGACCGGGGAGAAGGGAGGACGAGGAGGTCCTCCTCCTCCTCCTCCTCCTCCTCCTCATCCTCCTCCTCCTCCTCGTCTTCCTTCCTCTCGTACCTATGGTAGTGGTGGTGGAAAATGGGCCATCAGGAGCTGAAGCAACTGCCGAATTTTGCGCTCGCCGCGCCCGCGGTCTCCGTGCTGCTCGGCGGGGCGGTCTCGTACGCCCGCGCGGTGCACGCAGCGGGGTGGCGCGCCTTCCTTTCGGATGGTGGCATGGGCAGTGTCGCGGTTCTTCCCCACGTGGTGAAGGACGTATCCAGTTGCCTGCGGCGGCCAGTTCCGATGCTAGGCCAGCGCAGTTGTCTGCACGCCTCATTTCCCAAGGCCCATGTTGAGCATACCATGTGGCAGCTCGCCTCCCCAGTGGAGAAAGGCGGCAAGTGCACGAGGTGGCGGTAGAGAGACACAGAGAGAGGGTGAGAGAGAGAGAGAGAGACACACACACACATTCACAGAGAAAGAGAGTCGGAGAGGTGGGAACAAGAAAACAACAGCAACAGCAGCAGCAACAACAGCTGCAGCAGAACAATAACAACACGGGATACGGTTTGGGAGTTGTTCTTGGGCCGGTTGCGGTCGTCTTCGAGGGCATTCGGGCATTTTAGAAGTCTTCTTTGCGCCCTGTTGGAATCAATCCCCGGCATCTTGGAAGCCGTGGGAACCGCCAGCGAGGCGTCGGGCCGCTTGCAAAGCGGGATGTGGTTCACGCCAGTGTGTGCGGTAGGGAGGAGGGGGGGGGTTATGTAAACAGTCGAATTCTTGCAGGCAGAACTTGGCAGTATACCGCGCCCCATCGAACCAGGGGGCATGGTGGCGGATTTCTGGCTATCCTGGCAGTCTTCTTCATGAATGTGCAGGTGGCCACCCGGTTCTTTTCCGCCGCGTCCCCAAGCTTCCACTGGTGGCTCGCCATGGCGTCGCTGGACCCAGACTGGGCAGGGGCCGTCAAGGTCTACCTGGCATCATTTGTCTTCCTCGGGATCCTGCTGCACCCGAACTGCCTCCCCTGGACATGACGCGACATCGTGCCACGATCCGCGCGCTCTGTGAAGGCAGCCTCGAGGAGCACACTTCTTCGGTAGCAAATCGTGGGGGCCTGGGATGCCGTCTTATTTCCGTCTTTAGCGTCGATTCGCATCAGAGCGTCTTTTGTAGTCGATGAGATAGCGCCGATTTAGCGTCGGCTAGCGTCGATATAGCGTCGATGTAGCGTCGATGTAGCGTCGATTTAGCGTCGACTGACGTCGATCAGCGTCGATTCGCGAGAGCCGACGAGATGGCGCGGGAGGCCCCCGTGAGTTGCCACCGAACACTTCCTCGGGTCCTGCCCTGCCTCCGCGGGGGGCAGGACGGCCGGACCCGGTCCCCTCGCGACTCTCCCAAGCGGGGCGGCGCCCGTGGCGTGGCCTGGGAGGAGGAGGAGGAGGAGGAGGAGGAGGAGGAGGAGGAGGAGGAGGAGAAGGAGGAGGAGGAGGGAGAGGAGGAGGAAGGGGGCGAGGAGGAGGAGGAGGTCCGTAGCCATTTTGGCTCACGCCTTTCCGTAGGCCCCCCCCTCCTGGACCCTGCCCCTCGGCGTACCCTGCGACCCCAGATTGACGGGGCAACGCGGCGGGCGTGAGGGACGGGGGGGAGGGGGGTTATTGGCTCACGGAGGATGGCGCGGGAGGGGTCGCCGCCGCTTGGCGATCCCGGTTCGCACTTGCGTGCGCGGACGCGGGCCGAGCGCACCGCCGCGCGACGGCGTGCCGAGGCTGCCGCGGATGCCGGCGTCGCTGCGGCGCTCGCGCGGGCTGCGGAGCTGGAGGCCGCCCTGGACATGTTGGTCGGCGTGCACGGCGTGGCCGACAGAGTTCAGGCCATCATCCCTGCCCTCGCCGCTCTCGTTCAAGGAGTGGAGCCGCCTTGGCTCGACCGGTTGCGGAGGAACGTCGCGCTCCACTCCGCCGCCGATGGAGTGCCGTCGTTGGTGCTCGCGGATGCCGCCGCCTTGCGTGCAGCTCAGCGAGGGCCGCGCTTGGGCCCTGGGAAGCTGGCTGCCCCTGCCAGGCGTTCGACGAGGAGGAGGAGGGCGCGCCGCGGCTCTGTCGGTTCGCAGTCCTCGGCTGCGACTTCTTGTTCGCTCTCGGAGGCTTCCGATCTCGTCCCTGGTGCGGGCAGCTGGGAGAGGCTGGACGCCGCAGGCGTCATATGCACGTGCGGTGCTACAGTCTTCTCATCCTGCCGTGCGGACGTGCCGCAGCCATGCGAGAATTGGGAGGCGCTGCTCGAGCCCAACGTCATCGGGCACGACGTCGGGGTCAGCACGTGCGTGAAGAGCGAGATGCGGGAGACTAAGCTGGATCCCATCTTTGTCTCGGAGGCACCGCCGCTCGTGGAGGTGGCCCCGTTCGTGCCGCTAGAGCAGCTGCACTCCGAGCTGTACGTCCTGGGAGTCGCCGCTTGGGCGCGGGAGAGAGCGGGGAGATGTGATCAGCCGTTTGTTCGTCGTCGCCAACGGCTCGATCGCTTTGCTTGGCACCCAGTTGACCTCCCCCCTGACCCTGGCGGAGGGCGCCTCTTTGGCTGAGGGTACCTGCTACGAGTGGCTGGAACAATTTTTTGAGTCGTGCAGCGGATATACTGCGGCATTGTGCTTCTGTTATTATCGCAGGTCTCGGTGGCTTTGACATTATTTTTTCGTGGGATTGGGGCTTGCTAGTGCGTGATGTGCTGATTGTGGCTTCCTGGCGTATTTGTTGCTGTATGTGGCTTACTGGCATGCGGGCATTAAGCAGCTGACCTACACGATCGAGCTCTCGGTGTCTGTCGTGAAGCGTGGGTGCACCCCGCTTACCTTTTTGAGGTTCGCTGCACGGCCGCTGCCTCTTCATCTGCGCCTCTGGGATGTGGTGGTAGTCGGTCGGCGGAGGGCTTGTCGTACACTTGGATGGTCTCTTACCTGGTCTTCGGCATGCTCTTCTTCGAACTCTTCAGGGGCCTGTGCGTTGCTGTAAAAAAAGAGGAGGAGGAGGAGAAGGAAGAAGAGGAGGAGGAGGAGGAGGAGGAGGAGGAGGAGGACGAGGATGGGCCGGGGCCTGCAAGCTCTGGCTCGCATCCTTCGCCGCCCTCGGGGCCCCGCGTGGGCGGAGAGCAGCCGCATACCGCGGCCTCGCGGGCCGGGCCACCGGGCCAGGCCATATATCCCGCGGAGAGGAGGGGCCGCTTCTTTCGCGGGTGCCCCGCGCGGAGCGCCTCCGTGCGACCGCGTCTCCGCGGGACGCCTGCCGCCCCCCCCCAGTTGAGAGGAGGAGGAGGAGGAGGAGGAGGAGGAGGAGGAGGAGGAGGAGGAGGAGGAGGAGGAGGAGGAGGGGGAGGGGGAGGAGGGGGAGGAGGAGGAGGGGGAGGAGGAGGAGGAGAAGGATGGGGGAGGAGGAGGATCCAGACCGCGCGGGCGCGGGTGCGGCTCGAAATTCGCCGCTCGCGGGTGCTGCTGCAACCCCGGGCGGCCTCCCCATGGGCTGGGGTCGCGGCGCGGTGGTGCCCGAGCCGCGCGCTCCGCCGAGGCAGCCGCGCGGAGAGCACGCCTCGCCTGGTCTTAAGGCGGGCCGGTCCCCCGACAGGGGGATGTTCGAAGAAAAATAAAAGATACCCCCAACATAGTCCAAAAATAGTCCAAAAATAGTCCAAACATAGACCAAAAATAGTCAGCGGAGCTTCGAAGAAAAATACCAAACTTGGCATCGCTCGGACGTGTGCATTTCTCCTTCGGCGAGGACCATCGAGGAGCATCCTTGATCATGTGGCGAAAAAGCCACGCACGAAACCGAACAAAACACACAGGAAATGGACGTCCGAGCGATGGCCAGAAAACGCTCCAAAAATAGTTCAAAAATAATATGGGGATTATTTATTGAATATGTATCGACCTCATGGGGGTATTTTTTCTGTAGTTTTAAGTTGTCGTCGAAAGTCCCCCTGTAGGGGGACACGCCCGACATGAGCCTGTTCATTCCCGTGCGAAGATATCAGGCTGCTTCTCTGCTGGAATCAAAACCTGCTGCCATCAGTCACGGCAAGCATTGCTGCCTTCCTCAGAAATCCCACCAGCCCTCTGGGCGTAGGTGGTTCAGGGAGTTTCCTCTTCCAACCTCCTTCTTCCCCTTCGGGGAGGGGTTTACCCCTCCCCCTACCCTCTCCCCTGGACCTGGACGGGTTTTTTTTTGCTGAAGTGAAAACCTGCTGCCATCAGTCACGGCAAACGTTGCTGCCTGAAGCAATTCTCGTCTTCACGGAAAATCTGCCTTCGTTGAAGGCAACGATGTGCGCCTTCGGTGCGTCAGCAGTGCTTGCCTTCAGGACATGTTGCCTTCAGCGAAGGAATGTGCCTTCAGTGCGAAAGGTTCGCCTTCAGTGGCAAGTTGTTGCCTGCAGGGACAATTTGCCTGCAGTAAGCGCCTAGGGGCGCGAAGCGGAGAAGTCTCTTCCCTCCGCTTCTAGCCCAAAGCTAATAGCAACGAGCCCTGATACAATCGGTGAAGGGATGGAAAGGGATGCGCTCACATTCCGAAAGAGACCTTGTGAGGGGTACGGCACTTCACTGCAGTCGCTGCAGCACGAGGGGCAGGATGGGAAGGGTAACGATTCACAGCGAGAGGACGATGAAGAAGCCCTCGAGATCTTCTTGGGGCGAGCGGGTGGCCCTGGCGGTGTGCGTGTGTGTGTGTGTGTGTGTGTGTGTGTGTGTGTGTGTGTGTGTGAATGTGTGTATGTGCGTGTGTGTGTGTGTGTGTGTGTGTGGACACTCATTGGGGGCATCGGCATCGTCTTGGGGGGCTCTTGAGGGCCTCATGGTTTGTCTTGGACGCTCTCCTGAAGGCCGAAATCTGAAAATACTTAAACACTGAAGTAATTGATGTTCAAATCTTCTGCGCTTTTGAATCGACCTCGAGGGCCCCCTTGACGGCCAAATAGACCCCCAATACGGTTGCTGGAAAGGCCCCTGGGTGCATATTAGTGTGTGTGTGTGTATTGGAAGCTTGACTTTCCAACAACGGGTCCTGTGGTTCGGAAAATGTATGCGGGATTTCTTGGGCCGCCTTCTGGCCCTGTTGGGGACGGAGACCTTGGGGGCCGTTTTGGGCTGGCTTGGACATTCTGAAGATCAGAAGGCGAGAACCCTACCACAATTGTAACACCTGAAGAAGATCAATGACGTTTGCCACTCGTCGCTCTGCAGGTGCCGCGCGAGATCTCCCGGACATCCCCAGAATGAAGGGTCTAGGGCCTTCCAGAGGATATCTTAGAAACAGCTCCCAATGTTCAAAATGAGTATCCGAGGACACTCTACCAATGCCGACGGCGCGGTGGCAGGTCGTGTTGAAGGCTGTCGTAACTCCGCGGTGCAATGTCCGTAGACACGCGAGGAATGGGACAGGGGGGAGGTGGAAGGAGAGGAGTAGGAGGAGGTGTTCCACACGCTCTCATCAAGTAGTTGCAATGACCATCCCTCCCTCCCCTCGTTCTTCGTCCTTCTCCTCCTCCTCCTCTTCCTCTTCCTCCTCCCCCTCCTCCTCCTCCTCCCCCATCCCTCCCTCTTCCTCCTCCCCCATCCCCCCCCTCGTTCTTCGTTCTTCTCCTCCTGCCCTCTCATGCCCGGCCCCCCCGAGGTCTGCTTGGCGGGGAGCCCCTCAAGACAGGCCCTGCAGGTCCTCGTCTGCGTGCTGACAGACCTGGAGCCCGGGGTGCGAACGCCCATGAGAAGGAAGGTGGTCCATAGCAGTAAGACGAGGACTCGAGAAGACGAAGAGGAGGGCGATGACGACCGCGGCGACGCGCACGCATTTTGGAGGAGGGCGACGACGTCGAAAAGGAAGAGGAGGATGACGGGGAGGCCGGAGGAGGACCAGGAGGACCAGCAGGCGAAGAGGAGGAGTGGGAGATGATGTGCAGGACTTGGAGGAAGAGGAGGACGAAGGCGACGAGGATGAGCCGGTGGGGCGAAACAGGGAGCGAACGAGGAGCAGGACAACGAAATGGCGGGGGTGCGTGAAGAGAAACAGGGGCACGATGAGGAGCACGAGAAAGAGGAGGCACATGAAGAGGGGTAGCAGCGAGGCCTGGGGCATCTGCGTGGAACGCCCGAGCGTTAAGTCCGATACAAGTTGTACTTTCACGTAGGCGGGTGATGCTGTATCAGTCCACCTATCCGTGCGCATGTGCATCTACACGTAAACCGGGATCTACATGTACTTTACATATGCGCGCACGGCTTTTGGCATAAGCTCACGCTTGAATCACCCTAGAATGTCTTTATGTATGTATGTGCGTGCATGGATCTACTTAGGTTTACATGTGTGCTTCTGTGTATGTACATGGCATCGTTGGCCAACACCTCGCAACGAAAAGGGGGCGTGCTCGAAATCCTTTCCAAGAAAAAAGGGGGATGCTTTGATTACGCGGGTGGCGCTGCCGCGCGCGGAGGGGTCCGCTGGTCGCGCGTCGTTTTCCATTGATCCCGTGTTAGTTTGCCGACGTGTTTTGTCATGTCTGCGCGTAGCGTGACATATCTGATATAGTCCCTGGCATGTAGCAGCCTCATTGCCGTGCAAGTGCACTGCGAGTGCTGCCCCAACACGACTTCCTGAGCGAGCTCCAACTTCTTTCCGCGCGAACGCGAAATTTGGCACGACATGCGCCACGAAATGAGACACGACATGAGGCACGAAGTGCGGCACGAAATGAGGCACGACATGAAGTCTATTCCGCGCGAGCTCCAGCACGAACTGCGCCACGGAATGCCGCACGACACTGCCTGCGCGAAATTGCTGTGCGAATGTCTCGGGCGGCGCTTGCATGCGCGGCCGGGCGCGCGCAATCGGGGGCGGAAAAGAGGGGGGTGATGACTAGGGGGGGGTGGATATCATGGCGTGGGCCATAATATTTCCCCAGATTTCATGGCGCCTCTCCTTATTTCATTACGTCCCTGGCCCCCCCGCTGGGCCGGGCACGTGCCGCCGGTCACGATTTGCACCCCCCCCCTCTTGGACACCCCCCTCGAGGCCGCTCCCGACGCAAACGAGTCCGGGGAATCAATGCGGGGGCTTCGTCGCGCTGCCATTCTGGGCGGCAGCTCCGGGCCATCTCGCGCGGGCAATTTCGTTCGGGCAGTTTCGCGCGCGGGAAAGGCAGGTCGGTCAGCACGCACAGGACAGCAAGAGTGCGGGGACGAGCGGCCCAGACCTCCGATGTTGTGATTTCTGCTCCGCCACGTGGACCCCCAGCGATCCTGAACCCCTTCCACGGGACAGGTGGCTCCAGCAGGCGCCAGGAGGCCCCAGGAGGCCACAGGAGGTCCCAGGAAGCATCAGGAGGCCACAGGAAGGCTCGAGAGGCCACAGGATGTCCCAAGAGGCTCCAGGAGGCCCCTGGAAGCTCCAGGAGGCCTCAGGAGGCTCCAGGATGCTCCAGGAAGCTTCAGGAGGCCACAGGAGGCCCTAGGAGGCCACAGGAAGCGCCAGGAGGCACCGGGAGGTCAGCCTCTCCTTGCACCCCCGAAGGCCGGGTAAGGGCCCCTCAGGGCCTGAAAAGGGCATGCTTCTTCCCGTCACGCCTGGGATCTCCAGCTGGTTTCGGGCCCGGGCGCCAAGCCTCACCACGCCTGTGCCGACACCAACCGCAAGTGCCTACACCGAGGAGGGCCTGGGGGGGTGCGCCTGCTGCCGGCCGCCCGACGGGGCCGCTGGACTGCGCAGGCGGCTGCTGCCTGGGGCTCCGAGAGGCGGCGTCGCGATGTGCTTCCTACCAAGGGTATCGGTCTCGTTTGGTTTCCCCCTGCCCGCCCTTTCCTTGCCGGGCTGGCGCCCCTCCTGGCTGCCGTTCGAGGCGTGCGGCGCGAGGCGAGGCAGTGCTGGTTGCCGCCGCAATGTTCCTCCCCGTCGGCGTTTCGTCGTTTTCGCTCGCGCCGCTGCGTTCGGTCGTTGTCGTTGTCGCTGTCGTGTCGTTGTCGCTGTCGTGTGTGTGTGTGTGTGTGTTGCTGTGTGTGTGTGTCGCTGTGTGTGTGTGAGTCGCTGTGTGTGTGTGTGTGTCGCTTCGCCGTCGTCGTTCGTCCTCGCTGCTGTCCCCGTCGTCGTCGGTGGCTGGGCGCGAGGCCAGCCCAGCATCCTATAGAGTCGGGAACTTTGGGTCGGCGCCTCCCTCCGCCGGTTCTGGCCCACCACGCGGCCCACCACGCCTCGGCGCTGGCCCCCGAGCGCCACCGCGCCGCGCCTCTCCGAGCCCCCCCGCCCCGCGGAGCGGAGCGCCACGCCCTCCGCGCGCAGGGCTGGGCGCGCGCCGCCGGGGCCGCCACCGCGGCACTCGGCCCCGAAGAGCTCCCGACCGAGGCCTCCCGGGCCTCCCCCCGCCGCCGGGGCAGGCACGGCCGGAAGGGGCTGCAGGACGAGGACGAAGCCCGTTCCGGAGCGTTCCGGCACGCTCTCGGAGCGTTCCAGATCGCTCCTGAGACGGCCGCCGCGCCGGGTATCCCCGGCCAGCATAGGTCATGGTCATGAATGACCGCGCACTCTTAGAACAAAGTATTGAAGAAGCGATGATTATTACAGCGAGAAGCGAATGTATTACATTGTGCCGCCGAATCAAAGCAAGACAAAACATCATTTAGTAAACGCCAAAGCAAGATTACTAAATTCAACCAGGATTTCTAAATCCGGGGCCGTTTTTCGTAATCCCAGATCCAATATATTACCATGACCTGAGTGGCTCGATCACGATACATCCTCCAGTGCGGGCAAGACTTGTGGCCAGATCCTCTGCAGCTTGGAGTGTCGGGCTCCCTTCTCTCAAAAGCCTGAGGCGCAGTGGGTATGAATGATAAGAGTCTGGCCCGAGCAGAGGCTCGATCCTTATCCATAACCAGCGCGCCCCGGCCTTGCGGCGCCCCTTCCAAGAAAGGCCAAGACGCACTGCATATGGATACAGTGAGTGCCCCCATCCAGAGCCGCCGGATCTCCGAGCTTCTCGAGGTCTCCTCACCTGCCGTGGTGCTCCTGGCATCGCCTCGCGCAGGAACCCTGCAGCGAGCAGTCGGCGGTCTTCCTGAAGAGGCGGGCCCTGCGCGCCGCGCCCCTCTCCGCCCTCGCTGCCCGGGGCGGCCCCCGCGGCTCAGGGCGCGCTAGCCCCTTACCAGCCTGGAACATATCCCTATCCCTATGCTGGGCACCTCCTCATCACGATGCCAATCTTAGGGATTCCCTCATGTTTTGAGGGCGACTCCCTAAGATTGTCATCGCCTTTTGGCGTGCCAATCTTAGGGATAGGGATACGTTCGAGGCTGGTCAGCCCCGGCGCCTGGCCACGTGTCGGAGGAGGAGGGGGCGGCGGACCCCCTCGCGTCGTGGAGAAAGAGTCGCGACGTGACGTGTTTGGGCGGTTTTTGGGGGGGGCTCCTTCCTTCTCCCCCCGCGCGGCCGCCCTCTTCTCCCTCTCGTCCTCCTGCACGCCGGACAATTTGCCTACGGCAGGTTCGCGTCGTGTCGACCAGCGGCGATCCCAGCGCGGGCGTTTAAGATTGAACGCCGCCTGTGGCCCAGAATCGGCCCAGCCTTGAACGATCCAGCCTTTTTGAAGAGGGCCGACCGTTCATGTTTGAACGCCCCCCCCGGTGTCAGGAACCAACGCCGGGGTCGACACGACGCAAACCTGCCGTATCGTTGCCCCCGATTAGCCCGACGCTGGTGCGGATCGCCTCCGCCTCGCCGCCGACGAACAAGTGTTTGGCTGTTGTTGCCCCCCGGGGCCCCTACCTGGGCCCCGGTGGCCACCAGAAAAGAGCTCAGGACCAGAAGAGCCGTCTCGGGGGAATCGGTCGAGACCACACCCCCAGGCCTCCGACGATACGATGCGTGCAAGCCGAGCGTTTTTCCTCGATTCTGTCGTCTGGGGCCCCACAAGTAGGTTCTGGGACAATCAAATATAAACCCGGGATGGACAGCTGGGCCACGGAGAAAACCAGGTCGATTGCGCCGCAGTGGCGCGCAAGCTGCCCGCGTGAGGTCGGGCGTAGGCGCTCCCGTCTCCACTGGCGTTCCGCGCGGGCGGCCCGCGTAAGCCACCGCGTAGGGTCGCTGTGTCATCTCGCGTAAGACCCTGTGTGGATGGTCGCTCAACTGGACCCGTGGGAGGAGGTGACCTTTTGGGGCCGCGGATTGGCAACACCACATCGTCGGAGGTCAGGGCACCACGCGCCAATAAAAGATCGGCAGGGGGTTTGGTTGAATGTGGAAACTTTCTATTCCTCCTTACTCCATCCGCTTCCTCCTCCTCCTCGCCCCCTGGGGGCCCTTCCTGGGCCCAGGGGCCGCCACTAAACGATGCGGGATGAGCAACCGCTTCTGGGTCGAGACCTCCGGGGGTCCAAACTGCGTTAAAAAATCACAGCGCCAGGGGTCTGGAGGGGGGAGAGAAGGACGGGGGGAAGGGGGGTGAAAGATTGAGCGAGAGGAGGAGGAGGAGGAGGAGGAGGAGGAGGAGGAGGAGGAGGAGGAGGAGGAGGAGGATGAGGAGGAGGAGGATGGGGGAGGAGCAGGAGGATGAGGAGGACGCGGAGGAGGAGGAGGAGGACGCGGAGGAGGAGGAGGAGGAGGAGGAGGAAGGAGGAGGAGGAAGAGGAGGAGAAGGAGGAGGAGGAGGAGTGGGTGGAGAATCGGGAGGAGGGGGGGATGTCTGGGAATCTACAACAGGCGAGACGGCAGCTTCTCACCACTGAGGTGTCCCGACTTGGATGGTGGTGCCGCGGGCTGCTGTCTGGGCCAACGGGGCCTCAACCCTAAGCGGCAGCGAGGCTGCAGCGAGGCTGCAGGAGGAGAAGAGGAACACAACAACGGGATTACGAGGCAGCGTAATAAGCTTGGCGAAGGACCCAACCTGATGCAGTTGTGAGTATCGCAGTTGTGAGCATCGTCTTCGGTGGAGCTGCCTATGGGTCCACGAATCCTGTGAGGGGTGTGCCGAAATGGGCGCGGGAGAAACATGCGAGAACCGCCATTGGGGCATTCGGTGAAGTTCCTTATGGGGCCACGAAGCGCGCGAGGGGTGCACCGCAGTGGGCGCGGGGGACGCGTGCGAGAACCGCCACTAGGGCCTTCGGTGGAGCCCCTGTGGGGCCACGAAGCCTGGGTGTGCCAAAATGGGTGGTGTGGGGCGTGCATGCAAGAACCGCCACGAGGGTCTTCGGTGGAGCTCCCGATTGGGCCACGAAAGGTGTGAGGGCTGCGCCGACATGGGTGCGGGGGAAGCATGCGAGAACCGCCACCATGGCTGTAGGTGGAGCTCCCGATGGGGCCACGAAGCGTGTGAGAGGTGCGCCGAAATGGGGGCGGGGGACACATGCGAGAACGGCCACTGGGGGGCAGTCGGTGGAGCTTCCGATGGGGCCACGAAGCGT